ATAAATAACCAGTCCTTTACTCCAAACTTAAGGTACAAAACTAAACAACTGGTATCTGTATCAAATACATCAGATACATCGAATAACCGTTTCTTGTTTGTTTCGGGGTGCCACATAGAGCAGTACTGTATGAACTTTGTAAGGCCACGAGAGAAAATGTGAACGCTATGCCTTCATCTGAAATCTAATTAAGTCCTAACCTTTGAACGTTTCCCAAACCAGAAAAAAATGGTAAAATGCGTCAACACGAGTTTGTTAAATGGCGACTGTTTCTGTTGTTCTGTGAACTTATGCCGACGATGACGCACAACTGAAAAGTTGTAAATTATTTCTTCATTATTCAAGAACAGCATTGTAAATTCACTTAGAAACCTCGGTATTTCATATGCAAGTCACGAAAAACCCCATGGAAGAATAAAAGTACTTTTTGTTCAGTAACATCGAAAGCCAGTAAAAACAGTCAGCCAACTTGTTAGTGACAATGCGCTTGGTTTACAATGACTTTCGCTGTTAGAATAGTTGCTCACAGTTGCAGGAACATCAAACGGTATGCAGGTCGTCGAAAGCCAACATGCACGAATAGAGTGTTGGCTTAGGATCCCGATCGTTGCGAAGTTGGGATTCGACTCCACAATCAGAGTAATCTGGCTACTGTGTTAGTTGCAAGCTCCTCAGACCAGCTGGCAACTCAAAAGAAGAAATATCTCGTATTGAATGTCGCTTGGTATGGAAAGACATAGTCATTATAAGGTTGCTTCAGTTGCCACACAGTCCCCGCTTGTTCTGCTTCGTATAAGTGCTAGGTATATCCATACTAGTCCAGGGAATTACACCTTCATCTTCGGCTCAACGAAGTGTTTGTGTACTGGTCAATATACCGAGGGCAATATGGGTATAAACTGACTATATCTCACCCAGGGCGAATATTTCCTTTTTTTCGATAACCACACCCCTGCTGTCAAAAAGTAACTGACACGACCATAAAATATCCAAAGGATACGTCATTAACACGTAATCATTGTTATTAATAGGTTCCTACAACTGATGTCTTTTCTCATTACCAATTGGAAAACGGTAATGTTATTGTCTTGTCAGCGTGAAAGATGTGGTTTCGTACCTCAGGCGGAATACATTACACATTCTCTTGATTTCCATTACGTCAGGATTGAGACCACGGTTCAGCACAAATTGTCGCCGGGCATGTATTGCCGCGGTCCAGTACACATCTAAAAAAAATAAACTTGGTGATGACGACGTTGTTGATCATGACGATCATCACTACATGTATAGAAACATATAAGACCTGATTTTATCCCCCCGGACATATAACGACGGGGGGGGTCAGTTTGTCCGTCTGCCTGTCCGTCCGTCTGTCTCTGTCTCTGTCCGTCAGTTTGTCCGTCTGCCTGGCCGTCCGTCTGTCTCTGTCCGTCAGTTTGTCCGTCTGCCTGTCCGTCCGTCTGTCTCTGTCTCTGTCTCCTACTCACGCACACAACTGTTACGGTATTTTATGATTTAAACAGTATAGATTTCTACAATCGTATGTATAGTGCATGGGGATTTATAATGCCTCTATTCACTATCAAAATCCAAACCCTGACTTTGCGTCTTTGAAGTACCTGTTGTTGATGACTATACTGCAATAAACAACGTTTATTTAATGTTATTCCTTCTTATTGTTGCATATATCTCAGTAGTTTTGATTTGATAATTCAAAGTTCGACTTATTTGGAAATGAAAGGGAATAAACCATTTCTATATTGATGAGAAATCGCTGCTAAAAGCATCGCCAATGGTACAAGTGTTTATGGGAATGTGTAATGTGTGATTGCGCGAATGTGTGATTGGGACAATGCCAGTGACATAGGTTTGTCGTTTTGTGTTAAACCGCACGGCGCGTATGGAAAAAAAGTACCTAAAATTTGAGAGACATGCGTCGACAAACTTCATACGACGGTTGACTGATAAGTTCTAAGCCTCACATAGAAGGAACGGCGTAATAGTGAAAATCATTTGTTGTGGATATGACGTGATAGCATAGAGGTATATCCACACACAATTGAGTTAATTGAGCAAATTGTGTCGCTGTGACAAGTCATATGCATCTGTCAAGTAGCGCCCTTGTTTGAAATCTAGATGTCCAATAAGTCATTGCACATTATTATTGAAAACTACATATCCTAACGATGTTAGACATGTGACATTTATGTCAATGTCTACATTCATTGACATTTCGTTGTGAGTTTAATATACCGATAAAAAATCCGGATGAAATTGTCAGACCAGAGTGTGTTTGACGCCCAAACAAAATTGACAGTAGTGGTCGTGATTAGTTCATGCGCAAACTGTTTCAAAGATTATGTTACAAGACGAATGACAGTTTTGATTGTATATCCTGATGAAAACCCGGATATAGGTCTCAGTGTCAATGCTCTTTCATTGGTGATAAAAACAACTTCGGGGTAAGTGGAGACATTTTTCAAAGGACAAAAAGCGAAAGGTGGCAAAATAGTCCTAACAAATGCTCAAAATGACATCGCTGAATATCGGACAAAAGAAAAACAAATTCAAGTTGCCACCGCTCCATAACGGACAAAAGAAAAAACAAATTCAAGTTGGCTTTGAGCAACGTATCGGTTGTCGATGAAGTTGTCAAAATTGATGACCGTCATGTCGAATATTTGTTGCCCTCGATCATGAATATTTCAACTTCATCATAAATCACAAAGCAATCTGCTTGTGACAATCAACCTACGTCTCTTGCAACAGCAAGACAGTGGTTCAAAACCATTAAACTTCATCTTTGGAAGACTACAAGAGTAAAACAGATATGCGATGTCACCAAGAAAGATGTTAAATCTAAAGCATATGAAATACAGCCACGTTGAGGCAACAGCTGTCAGACCAAGTGACAAAGTGAGAACACGAGTATGAATCTTCTTTTCACAAACATCGAGTCTAAAGAATGTTGAAACTTTGTAGTGCAAAACATTCAACTTCAATGAACGATATCACTTAAAATGTAACTCCTATTTGCAATAATGATACAATAAATCAGGACTGTATTGCTTCCAATATATGCATGTTTTGTTTGTTGTTTAACGCGCACTCTGCAATATTCCAGCTATATGACGGCTTACGTGCATAACGTTTCACCGAACTTTTTCTCACCAATATTACATGTAGAGTTGTTCATTGTGAAGAATTAACCTTTATTACTAACTGGACCAGGTGGTCTTGACTTAATTAATTGCATACACAGACCGCGTGGGACATTGTTCATAAAACGAACTATTAGAAATCCATGTTCCTGGTATGCAGCATTATGATGATTGGTTGGTTGGTTTGTTTGTTTGTTGTTTAACGCCGCACTCAGCAATATTCTACCTATATGACGGCGGTCTGTAAATAATCGAATCTGGACCAGACAATCCAGTGATTGGTATCATGATGAAGACAATGTTGATGTTTTCATCTTGCTTCAGAATCTATTACATAATTCAAGTTTTGAATATAATCATTGAGAATATTCCACGAAAGAATTAGTGTTCCCCTTTGAGCTTTGCTTAAGGTAAAATATGTCAGAATCCCAGAACACGTGCCTGAGCCGATATTAACAAGGTCAACATTAAGGATGTGTGATAAATAATTTCTCAGGTTATTTGCAACAATGTACTGGTCAAAAGAAGTTAACTGTTTTAAGAAACGGTTTGTTTATCTTAATATATTTTCTGTTCATTACCGGATGGGGCAATCCATTGCCCATTATCATATCTCTGTCCTGTTCTTTACCCATTGGGACAACCAATTACCCGTTATCACATCCTTGTCCTGAGAGCTAAAATGAAGGTTGTTGTCACAATGTTGCAATTGGCAGATTGTCCCTTCAATGTGGGACTTGCTCCTATTCACAACCACCATTTTGACCAGTCCAGTACCCATTGCTGAGGCTGACCACAGTGTTAACAGCACACCACAGCCTTATAATTTCAATCTGAGACGTAAGCACGTGGAACTGATGTGATGGATGGCACTGACATTTATAAATTCTTCTGATGATAATCCTCAAATTTAACATAAGTGAAAACCACCTGATAATGAGACAGTTTGAGTGTCCTTGATGGTGACCGATAGTACACCTGTCCTGATGCAAGGACTTCAAACGAAGTGAGAACAATTCGGTGCATTTCAACATAATATTATTTATGTAGGTTAGTTGTACACAATGACACGCGATGGGAATAAATGTGACCTTGTTTTGTATGTGCACAACGTAGCTACCAGCTATTAGTCTGTGTACTGTACACCTTCTGTAAACAATTTTAATATGCGTGGCTACAATATCAAAAAGGCTGCTTAATCTTGGATCCAGTTTGACAGCTCAATTTCTCACTGTACAATAGACGTCATCCACGTCACAAGACGCGAGGTAAAACCACGAGCCCCTGCCCAGACGATAGGTTCACAGTGGCGCGAAATCACCGACCGTCTATCAGCCTACACAAAAACGGTAACGTAATTGAACGAAAAAAAAGGGTTTATTCATTGCTGACACTGCAGACAACATATCACAAAGCAAATATAACACGATCATTATTAATAATACACTCAACACATCAACAATTTGTAAATCTATAGTCAATTGACGAATGTTGAAAATACAATCCCCTATCTTAGTATGACATTCTATTTTCTGAAGAAATGTATAATTTGTACGACATAATACATTTATAAGTCTTTGAAAGGCATTTTCTCATAATAAGGACGTTGACATCCATAAAGTAATACATGTATAGTTTGTTTGTTTAAGATCGCACTCAACAATGCAGCTATATGACGGCGGTTTGTAACGAATCGAGTCTGGACTAGCCAACCAGTGATTGACACCAGGAGCATCGGTATACATGTACGGAAAATACTATTTCTGCAAACCAATCACATCGTCGTTATCGCAGCAAGGAATAAACAACAACTTTACAGCACATGGTATCCATAAACGCTTAACTCAAATGCAAATGCACACAGAAACAGTTGTCATTATTTTTGTCGGGATCATTCATAGACCCGAGCACTGAGGGGTTTGCATCGTGAGGAGCCATACATGGTCCCGGGCACTGAGGGGTTGCATCGTGAGGGGCCATACATGGTCCCGGGCACTGAGGGGGTTGCATGGTGAGGCGCCACACATGGTCCCGGGCAGCAAGTGGTTGCATCGTGAGGAGCCATAAATGGTCTCGGACATTGAGGGGTTGCATCGTGAGAGGCCATACATGGTCCCGGGCACTGAGGGGTTGCATCGTGAGGGGCCATACATGGTCCCGGGCACTGAGGGGGTTGCATCGTGAGGGGCCATACAAGGTCCCGGGCACTGAGGGGGTTGCATCGTGAGGGGCCATACATGGTCCCGGGCACTGAGGGGGTTGCATCGTGAGGAGCCATACATGGTCACGGGCACTGAGGGGGTTGCATCGTGAGGGGCCACACATGGTCCCGGGCAGCAAGGGGTTTGCATCGTGAGGGGCCATACATGGTCCCGGGCACTGAGGGGTTACATAGGGAGGGGCCACACATGGTCCCGGGCACTGAGGGGATTGCATCGTGAGGGGCCATACATGGTCCCGGACGCTGAGGGGTTGCATCATGAGGGGCCATACATGGTCCCGGGCACTGAGGGGTTGCATCATGAGGGGCCATACATGGTCCCGGGCACTGAGGGGTTGCATCGTGAGGAGCCATACATGGTCTCGGACATTGAGGGGTTGCATCGTGAGAGGCCATACATGGTGCCGGGCACTGAGGGGTTGCATCGTGAGGGGCCATACATGGTCCCGGGCATTGAGGGGGTTGCATCGTGAGGGGCCATACAAGGTCCCGGGCACTGAGGGGGTTGCATCGTGAGGAGCCATACATGGTCCCGGGCACTGAGGGGGTTGCATCGTGAGGGGCCATACATGGTCCCGGGCACTAAGGGGGTTGCATCGTGAGGGGCCACACATGGTCCCGGGCACTGAGGGGGTTGCATCGTGAGGGGCCACACATGGTTCCAGGCAGCAAAGGGGTTGCATCGTGAGGGGCCACACATGGTCCCGGGCACTGAGGGGATTGCATCGTGAAGGGGCAATCATGGTCCCGGGCACTGAGGGGGTTGCATCGTGAGGGGCCATACATGGTCCCGGGCACTGAGGGGTTGCATCGTGAGGGGCCAAACATGGTCCCGGGCACTGAGGGGTTGCATCGTGAGGAGCCATACATGGTCCCGGGCACTGACGGGGTTGCATCGTGAGAGGCCATTCAAGGTCCCGGGCACTGAGGGGGTTGCATCGTGAGGAGCCATACATGGTCCCGGGCACTGAGGGGTTGCATCGTGAGGAGCCATACATGGTCCCGGGCACTGAGGGGGTTGCATCGTGAGGGGCCACACATGGTCCCGGGCACTGAGGGGTTGCATCATGAGGGGCCATACATGGTCCCGGGCACTGAGGGGTTGCATCATGAGGAGCCACACATGGTCCCGGGCACTGAGGGGGTTGCATCGTGAGGAGCCATACATGGTCCCGGGCACTGAGGGGGTTGCATCGTGAGGGGCCATACATGGTCCCGGGCACTGAGGGGTTTGCATCGTGAGGGGCCACACATGGTTCCAGGCAGCAAAGGGGTTGCATCGTGAGGGGCCACACATGGTCCCGGGCACTGAGGGGATTGCATCGTGAAGGGGCAATCATGGTCCCGGGCACTGAGGGGGTTGCATCGTAAGGGGCCATACATGGTCCCGGGCACTGAGGGGTTGCATCGTGAGGGGCCATACATGGTCCCGGGCACTGAGGGGTTGCATCGTGAGGAGCCATACATGGTCCCGGGCACTGACGGGGTTGCATCGTGAGAGGCCATACAAGGTCCCGGGCACTGAGGGGGTTGCATCGTGAGGAGCCATACATGGTCCCGGGCACTGACGGGGTTGCATCGTGAGGAGCCATACATGGTTCCTGGGCACGGAGGGGGTTGCATCGTGAGGGGCCACACATGGTCCCGGGCACTGAGGGGGTTGCATCGTGAGGGGCCACACATGGTTCCTGGGCACGGAGGGGGTTGCATCGTGAGGGGCCACACATGGTCCCGGGCACTGAGGGGGTTGCATCGTGAGGGGCCACACATGGTTCCAGGCAGCAAAGGGGTTGCATCGTGAGGGGCCACACATGGTCCCGGGCACTGAGGGGATTGCATCGTGAAGGGGCAATCGTGGTCCCGGGCACTGAGGGGGTTGCATCGTGAAGGGCCATACATGGACACGGGCAGCAAAGGGGTTGCATCGTGAAGGGCCACACATGGTCCCGGGCACTGAGGGGGTTGCATCGTGAAGGGCCATACATGGTCACAGGCAGCAAAGGGGTTGCATCATGAGGGGCCATACATGGACCCGGGCAGCAAAGGGGTTGCATTGGGAGGGGCCATACATGGACCCGGGCAGCAAAGGGGTTGCATCGTGAGAGGCCACACATGGTCCCGGGCACTGAGGGGGTTGCATCGTGAAGGGCCATACATGGTCAAGGGCTCTGAGGGGTTGCATCGTGAGGGGCCATACATGGTCCCGGGCAGCAAAGGGGTTGCATCGTGAGGGGCCACACATGGTCCCGGGCACTGAGGGGGTTGCATCGTGAGGGGCCATGCATGGTCCTGGACGCTGAGGGGTTGCATCATGAGGGGCCATACATGGTCCCGGGCACTGAGGGGTTGCATCATGAGGGGCCATACATGGTCCCGGGCACTGAGGGGTTGCATCGTGAGGAGCCATACATGGTCCCGGGCACTGACGGGGTTGCATCGTGAGGGGCCATACATGGTCCCGGGCACTGACGGGGTTGCATCGTGAGGAGCCATACATGGTCCCGGGCACTGAGGGGGTTGCATCGTGAGGAGCCATACATGGTCCCGGGCACTGAGGGGGTTGCATCGTGAGGAGCCATACATGGTCCCGGGCACTGAGGGGGTTGCATCGTGAGGGGCCACACATGGTCCCGGGCACTGAGGGGGTTGCATCGTGAGGGGCCACACATGGTTCCAGGCAGCAAAGGGGTTGCATCGTGAGGGGCCACACATGGTCCCGGGCACTGAGGGGATTGCATCGTGAAGGGGCAATCATGGTCCCGGGCACTGAGGGGGTTGCATCGTAAGGGGCCATACATGGTCCCGGGCACTGACGGGGTTGCATCGTGAGAGGCCATACAAGGTCCCGGGCACTGAGGGGGTTGCATCGTGAGGAGCCATACAAGGTCCCGGGCACTGAGGGGGTTGCATCGTGAGGAGCCATACATGGTTCCTGGGCACTGAGGGGGTTGCATCGTGAGGAGCCATACATGGTCCCGGGCACGGAGGGGGTTGCATCGTGAGGGGCCACACATGGTCCCGGGCACTGAGGGGGTTGCATCGTGAGGGGCCACACATGGTTCCAGGCAGCAAAGGGGTTGCATCGTGAGGGGCCACACATGGTCCCGGGCACTGAGGGGATTGCATCGTGAAGGGGCAATCATGGTCCCGGGCACTGAGGGGGTTGCATCGTGAAGGGCCATACATGGACACGGGCAGCAAAGGGGTTGCATCGTGAAGGGCCACACATGGTCCCGGGCACTGAGGGGGTTGCATCGTGAAGGGCCATACATGGTCACAGGCAGCAAAGGGGTTGCATCATGAGGGGCCATACATGGACCCGGGCAGCAAAGGGGTTGCATTGGGAGGGGCCATACATGGACCCGGGCAGCAAAGGGGTTGCATCGTGAAAGGCCACACATGGTCCCGGGCACTGAGGGGGTTGCATCGTGAAGGGCCATACATGGTCAAGGGCACTGAGGGGTTGCATCGTGAGGGGCCATACATGGTCCCGGGCAGCAAAGGGGTTGCATCGTGAGGGGCCACACATGGTCCCGGGCACTGAGGGGGTTGCATCGTGAGGGGCCATGCATGGTCCCGGGCACTGAGGGGGTTGCATCGTGAGGAGCCATACATGGTCCCGGGCACTGAGGGGGTTGCATCGTGAGGGGCCACACATGGTCCCGGGCACTGAGGGGGTTGCATCGTGAGGGGCCACACATGGTTCCAGGCAGCAAAGGGGTTGCATCGTGAGGGGCCACACATGGTCCCGGGCACTGAGGGGATTGCATCGTGAAGGGGCAATCATGGTCCCGGGCACTGAGGGGGTTGCATCGTGAAGGGCCATACATGGACACGGGCAGCAAAGGTGTTGCATCGTGAGGGGCCACACATGGTCCCGGGCACTGAGGGGGTTGCATCGTGAAGGGCCATACATGGTCACAGGCAGCAAAGGGGTTGCATCATGAGGGGCCATACATGGACCCGGGCAGCAAAGGGGTTGCATCGTGAGGGGCCACACATGGTCCCGGGCACTGAGGGGGTTGCATCGTGAAGGGCCATACATGGTCAAGGGCACTGAGGGGTTGCATCGTGAGGGGCCATACATGGTCCCGGGCAGCAAAGGGGTTGCATCGTGAGGGGCCACACATCGTCCCGGGCACTGAGGGGGTTGCATCGTGAGGGGCCATGCATGGTCCCGGGCATTGAGGGGGTTGCATCGTGAGGAGCCATGCATGTTCCCGGGCACTGAGGGGGTTGCATCGTGAGGGGCCATGCATGGTCCCGGGCACTGAGGGGGTTGCATCGTGAGGGGCCATACATGGTCCCGGGCACTGAGGGGGTTGCATCGTGAGGAGCCATGCATGGTCCCGGGCACTGAGGGGGTTGCATCGTGAGGGGCCATACATGGTCCCGGGCACTGAGGGGGTTGCATCGTTAGGGGCCACACATGGTCCCGGGCACTGACGGGGTTGCATCGTGAGGGGTCATACACGGTCCCGGGCACTGAGGGGGTTGCATCGTGAGGGGCCATACACGGTCCCGGGCACTGAGGGGGTTGCATCGTGAGGGGCCATACATGGTCCCGGGCACTGAGGGGGATGCATCGTGAGGGGCCACACATGGTTCCAGGCATGTTTGCACTACAAAAGGGTAAATACGCAAATTGACGAATATTTACATCATTTGGCTAAGCCTTCTTGTGTTTTATATTGTTTCTTTGCATATATGTTTAAGGTCCACTTTGAGATGTGATGAACTATGATGCAGACAAATCCTTACCCCTAACATAAAATGTCAATTCGACATCTATCATTAAAGAAAAACATTATTTCAACCAGAAGTTACACAAAAGCTGTACGTTGAGAATGCAACATGTGGTTTCTTTACGTTGAAGACGGTGGAGGCGATTTCAGTCCAAATATCTTAATAGCATCGAACTCCACCCACTTTCCAGCGACGGATGTACAGTCTGTTGTAAACCTGACACTGTTGGAAGGGGACGTCAGTGTCTGGAACATAGGAATGACCTGATGCCCTGGGCAAATACACAATACTGTTACATCTTAACTATCATCAGGGAAATATGTCCAAACGTTTATAAAATTGTTTCATTCAGCAGTACAATGTGAAAACGAAGGCATGCAGATTCATAAACTATTCTTGCAAATATATATGATTTCCATTACATTTCCTTCATGATAATCAGAGTCACCCATCACACACTTATTGTACTTGAATCATATACCGCTATAAGGAATTGTCACGGGAAGCGTGTTTCGAATCATATAATATGCTAAAAATGATGGCAGAAATTTAAAAAAAATGGAAAAATGTTTGCGATACTGAATTACCAGTACAGGCAGTATGTATTCTCAGCCTGTGGATGTGCTAAATGTAACTGGAGACTGATTTCCTTCTTCAAATGTTTGTTTCGGACAGCAGTCGTGGCTCTCAACATTGAAGTATACTCCAGGATGCATTGTTTGTCATTAGTTTAATGATGAGGCACAGGTGGTCAGATATAGCGACATACAACTGTAGATAATTAACTCCCTGAGGAAAACTTACTTATAAACGCGTGTATTTGGTCGTTTGTATTAATGATCAGAATGAGACGAATACTAATGATTATGTAATTGACATTTCTTAATTCCTAATATATAAACTGTGAAAATGCCTATATTTTGAAGTTAATCGGTAGTGTGTTATGTGGCAGAGGAGATTGTTTCCAGTTTTGTCTGAATATTTTCTGTGGCAGCAAATGGCTGTAGTGGTATATCTGCACGGGAGTGTGATTTAGAGTTACCTTCCTCATTTCATGTTTGTTTGTTGTTTAACGCCGTACTCAGCAATATTTCAGCTATATGACGGCGGTCCGTACATAATCAAGTCTGGACCAGGTAATCCAGTGATTGACATCATGAGCATCGATCCACGCAATTGGGATACGATAACATGCATCAACCACGTCAGCGAGCCTTACCACCAGATCCCGTTTGTCGCCTCTGACGACAAGCAAAGTCGCCCTTTAGGGCAAGCATTGGTTGCTGAAGACCTATTCTACCCCGGATCTTCATGGGTCCTGAGTTGATGTAAACAACCATAGCAACATTGATGTTTCGACAGGTTTCGGGATCTGACAATTTCTAGAAGTCTGACTTCAAAATTATGGCGATTTGAGGCTTTCTACGACCTGACTTGCGTCTTATTTACTAGCCAAGAGAGGACGGGATACCTATATAAAACATAGAATTCCTGCCAGCTTCCAACTGTATTCCGGGTTCAGGACAGCAGCACGTACCTCTTTCAAAAGAACTTAAATCTCGACATTCGTGAATACACAACCATATTAAGGGGCTTGTTACTTGTTGTTTTGTGATTGTAAACATAAAACTGTGTGTTTCAATATAATTTGTAAAATATTTATTGAACACGGATTACGGACTTCCCAATTTAGTTCTGTACGAAACAATTTCTGGGATGGCCTCAGCGTGTCAATAAAGAAATCACCTCGTAACATTTGTCACAATATTTATTCAGCCAGTGATCCAAGCACGTTTATAATCTCTGTTTGATATGGTTACCGTGAATTGTGGCGAGAAGATTCTGCTCCGTGTTATAACTGTGACGGATGCAGCGGTCCAGATGGTGTCCCATGTGTTATTCCTCCCTACAGACACGGTCTTCACAAGCCCTGCTGAACACGTCTCGTATATATCTATACGGCGTATGTAAAGCGTCTCAGCAAACTCCACCTGAACATTAAAAGTTATGAATTACTTTGGTTCGTTTCTTGATTACTTAAATCAATAAATATGTAATGTTTCATCTGTAAAATGTAAAGAATACCTTGACCATGATGATTGATATATTCAATGTTATTTAATTGAATTCTGAAGTTGTTCATCTTTGTCTTATTTCACACCTAGTGGCATTTCGTTGTAAACGCATTCTTCAGAATCTAATGATTGACTAATCCTGATACAGGACTTCGCGTCAATATCCTAAGTGCTGAGCCACGCGGACCATATCAGGGCACATGCCCAAACAAGGAAATGTACTGGAACATATGATGAACCACGAGGAACAAATCTAGGCACAAGATGAAACAGGAGAAAACTAATGGTAATCTGGGGCATCGGATGGTTACAAGGAACATAGGTTTAGTACTGTTTCATTTATTCAATCAAAACCATAACCGACAGCTAATAGTACTCATGATGCATCTGATCAGATCTATTTAGATTGCATCACAAGTACTATTTTTTAAATCTTTTACGATATAAATATTTAACTTGGTGTAAATGACACTATTTAGAACACATATTGATCATCCATAGGGCCTTGGATTTACGAGGATTAGAATTTCAATCACTTCGGTCCATGAAATAAACATACCATACTGTACGGTAATATACTAACATAACTGTAATATACTTTTCTGTTCACGGTGTGGTTAAGTTTACCTGAATCCATTCATTCCCGTTCTCACAAAACTTAGATGAAGGGGCCCATGATCCTGTAATGTCTCCGTATTGGGGGTAGACATCGAACTTTCTCAGAATATGCCCTGCATGCCAACTGAAGAAAGTGGTAATGGTGTAATTCATATTTGAAATTCCAACATAACGTAACGACATTATTATCTATCTACTCACATATACAACCCGTTTGTGAATAAGCGCACCTGATGGCTGGAATCAAGTTGGTTCAAAGCCGCTTTGAACAGTACTGCAGTTAGATCACGGTGTGTCAGCTTAATGTGGGAATACGTCCCGAGGACACGGGTATAGTGAGAAGGGAGAATATGGGATTCAAACCCACGATAACAGGTGTTTCGTACTCCTAGGGGGCGGAACTCATCGAACACAAGGAATTGCGACGCTTTGTACGACAGGTCCACACGAACCCCCTTAATTTTTTTAAACAAAATTTTCCAGCAAAGGCTTCTATTGTTTCAACAACTCTTCTTTTCTCTTATAAGTGTATAATTCACAATACACATATACTTGGTTTCGCTCGTACTTTCTTCGGCACATGTATAATAGTTCCTCGGAGGTGGCACAATGAATAAAAAAGTACGTGCGCGGTTACTGTGCAGTAATCTGGATGTCATTTCGCTTTGTTATGGCGAAGACCTCAACACCAATTCACGCCAACACATCCTGCAATCGTGGCTTGTTCATTGAACAAACGTCATACATGTCTCAGATGTTTTGCACTTTGTCCACTTGAAACCCGCGAGCACAGGCATGGTACTGATAAACCTAGAAACATAATCAGGGTGAACAGGGATCCGAACCCATAATCATCTGGAGTCCCCAAGGGACGCAACTCTTAGACGACTTGGCCACAAGTGCCCCCACACTTTTAGAAATAATATCAAATGTGTTCATGCCAAAAAAGAAAAATGAAAAGATGATGCCAAATTGCAATGCATCAACAAAGACGGTTTTCAGGGTTTTAGGGAACTAAACTAGTGTCCAAAAGAAACGATACCACCTGTTTGCAACGACATAAAAGAAAAACTAAACAATGCAGAAGTTTAGGATTGGTGTTATGCTTTTGAGAAATCCTTTCACAACATCTGTACAAAAATTTCATTTCAATAAAATCTGTACAACCAATATGACACGCCTTTAAAGATGGGTGGGGTCGAAAAATGAACATTTCGTTAGAGCACTGATCACAGAAACAACGGGAAATGTCACACCACACGTCTCAAAGTCAAGTCAGTAGCGGGTATGTCCACCGTGAGCATCAATACATGCCAGAACACGCCTACGGACTGATGACGTCAAACGTCTGATGACGTTGGGAGTGATGCTTTGCCATTCCTCGAGGAGACATCGTTCAAAGTCCTGGACGTTGACTGGAGGCACACGGCGACGTCGGATTTGCCGATCGAGGTGGTCCCATAAGTGCTCGATGGGATTAATGTCCGGTGAACATGCGGGCCATGGCAAAACCTGTACGTTGGCGTTGGCAAGGAAGTTCTGTGTCAATCTTGCTGTGTGTGGCCTTGCATTGTCATGTTGGAAAAGGAGTCCACGAGGCTGTTGCTGAATAAAGGGCACCACAACAGGATGTCATCAAGATAACGCTGTGCATTCAGGTTTCCACGAATTACGACAAGCATCGTTTTGACGTCACCACATATGCCACCCCAAACCATTAACCCTCCACCCCCAAACGGCCGGACCTGTTGGATACAGTTAGGCGCCAAACGTTCACCAAATCGTCGGTATACAAGCTGCCGTCCATCGTTTCTGAAGATGAGGAATCTGCTCTCATCAGAGAACATAACACGTGCCCAGTCCCGCCGTTGCCAACGTCGAACTCGCCTGGCCCAGATCAGTCTGTTGTTCCGGTGTCGAGGCGTCAGGAGCGGTCCGCGGTAGGGATGACGTGGCCGGATACCATACTGCCGTAGTCTCCTGTAGACGGTCTGTCGACTGATCCTGTGTCCCAGTGCTGTAGCCGCCGTGGACGTCGCTGTTACGGTGCGGTTCCTCAGGTGTAATACCCGGATGTAACGATATTCACGGGGCCTAGTTACTCGTGGTCTTCCACTCATGGGCCTGTCTGACGTCTGACCTGTCTGACGTAACCGCTGCATAAACCTGGTGATAG